CCCCAAAACCCCAAAACCCCAAGAGTTTAAAATTGGTTATGAATTCTGAGTTCACTTAATTCCGATTAAAAATTTATTTATAAATCATGTTGTTAAATATCAAGAGTTAGGTTAGCTAAGATTTTAATTGATAAGCAATATAAAAAATAACATCTCTAGCTAATAAATGACTGATACATTGAAATCACTCAAGATTGCTTATATCTTTATAGTTACAGCGATTGTCTATTTCGCGTTCATTCCAGCATTTTCGAAAAGATGCAGAAGAAGTGCCCTGACCTTAGGGCTGATGAATTCATTTGCAGGCGGTGTGTTTTTAGCTATGGCTTTCGTTCATATATTACCTGAAGCAGCTGAGACCTACAATGCTTCAATGGCTACAACAAAGGCTGAGCATGATGATCATAGACGACTTTAAAATTCTGAATCAACCGAGGAAGAACCAAAAGAAGAGCATGCTCATGAAGTTTTCCCATTACCATACGTGCTATTCTTCTGCGGGTATGCAGTGGTATTGCTAGTAGATAGGGTATTCAGTGCACATTTTGGGGATTCTCATGGACACGGGCATGGGCATGGTCATGGTCATGATGATGATGAAGATGAACATTAATTCGATGAGAAATTAGAGGATAAAGAAAAGCTATAGAGCGGTAGAAAATCTTAACCTGAAAGTCATCACAATAACCATGATCACAAGCATGAACGCAATCATGTTAAAAAGCCTGATCATCCAGGACCCTCAAGCTAAATCACTAAGTCTGAAACTATTACGAAGAAACCAGAAGAGCTTTAAAACAAAGATAATATGGAATCTCTGAGTCTAAGAATGAACTAGAGCCCTGATAAATTATTAGATGGGGGTTCAAATAGAAAGGTAGGTAGTGATGATGTTGAAGCAATTGAAATCTAAGATGGAGTTAATGAATTTGAAAACTAGGATTAAATAGTCAAGATTGATGCTAATGAAGCAAATGCCTCTGAGGACAAATCACATTATTTCCATCATCATATCAAAGAGCATAACAAGCTTCCAAAAGACAAAAAAGTTGTAATATGCGGAATAAACATTACCCCTCTTGTACTTTTGATTGCACTCGGTTTCCATTCTGTTTTTGAGGGTATTGCTCTCGGACTTATTAAAGATTTGCAAGTATTCATAAATCTAATGATCGGAGTTACAATACATCATATTGTAGCTTGTATATCTTACGGAGTATCCCTTGGCAGGGCAAAAAACAAATCATCTAAAGCTATGGTATTAAGTATTGTAGGACTCTCACTCTTTGAATCAGGTGGTCTAGCCATTGGTTTAGGACTTAGTGATGCCCCTGATTTCGTAAGCTCAATTATTTTAAGTTTCGCTGGGGGTACTTTTGTTTATATTGCCTGCTCCGAGATTTTAGTCCATGAGTTTTCTGAGAAAAAGCATAGATATTGGAAATTCTTAATGTTTTTAATAGGTGCTGCAATAATCACCTGTCTATGGTTCCTTCATGCAGAAGAAAGCTGATCGAACTTATTATTAAGATGATATCTAATTGAATATAGACATCTCGTTTTATTTATCGCTGTTTTTATACTTATTTTATTGGAATATTTTAAACGTAATAAAACATTATATCCTATGAATCAATTTTTTTAAGAAACCATTCAATGTCTTTAAGTTATATTATTTTTTGATTTCCTTTAAGTAAGGATCTATATACATATACGGGGTTTTGGGGTTTTGGGGTTTTGGGG